AAACCCTAGGTCGCGTGAAATTGTTGCTGCAGTTTTTCCATTTTCATACTACATTATTATCTTCATTTTTGTCTCAAAAGTAATTAACTGTCTCCTTTTCTTCTGAGCACCACCAGCGCTCTCACTTGTACACTTTCCAGTGATGGTAAAGTAAATTAAATACGAAAATAATGTCAGTACACAGTGTGATCAATTGCGAATACAACGACAGCCAAACACCAACTAAGCGCTCCACGCTGTGACCCAAGCCACGCTCTCGTACGGGACGGAAACGTTTCGGTATGGAAAATGCGTGCATCATTTTAAAATTTTATTGGTCCTGACTACGGCGGTCGTATGTGCGGATGGTCATTACGGACTGAGGCAGGTTGTAAGTGCGGGTGGTCGTAAGTTGGGAAGGAGCTGTATATATATTGTACAGTAGAACGTCGATATAACACGAGATACGTTCCAAGAGGGGTCGCTTTTAACCAAATTCGCACTAAATCAAAATGTTGCTTCAATGGAATAATTTAGTTTGGTACTTGAGAGAAACAAAATACTGAAAAGACTGAGAGTCTACCCAGATGCACCTCAGCCCATCTCGTAGAATATACAAAACATTGCTTTTTGTAGTATTATGTTAAAACAAACACTCATAAATCAACACAGCTAAAATTATGGGACATGAAATGGTCTGTTTACTAGCAATTAGTTGATGTAAAGATTAAAGTGGGGGGAGGGAGAGAGGTGAGGTGATGAGTTTGAAAGTTGATGCCAAGGTCTAATGCCTATTTATTTATCTGTCCTTAAGAGTGACTTTTAGTTTTTCTCTTGTAAAATGTCACTGAATTGACGTGTTCTAATTAATTTTATTATAAAGGGCTAAAATCTTATCTCGTGCAAAATATTGTATATGACATTTATATTCAAATTATTCGCTGTCTTGCAAGGATTCTAGCAATGCAAATTATATTCTCCTAACTTTAGTCTGTGATATTATATAAGATAAAAGTTGTAATCCTATAACCACCAAACCCTGGATGGGAAGATGGGGGAGAGAGAGGGAGTGAGGGGAGGGAGGTGACAGTGACATGTTTGACAGTTAGCGCCGAAGGTCTAGTGAAGTATTTATTTGTTTATTTATGTCCTTTAGCTTGAGTTTTTTTTTTTTTTTTTTATATAAAATGTCACAGAAGTGACCAGGGAGAATATAATTTACATTGCTGGAATTCTTATAAGAAAGTGATTAATTTGAATATAATCATGCTATAGTTTGCACAAGACAAAAATTTTAGTAATCATTTAATACATTATTTTGAGTACATGTACAGTACAGCTTTGCCCGTAGGACAGTGTAACGTGCCCAGAGAAACAATAGGCGCGAATTTTAAAATATGATGCACCAGATTGACTCGTGCAAAATTGGAAAGATTCGCTTTAAATTAAAGCATTGTCCTTAATTGTGGGTGTCGCTTTAATCAATAATCTTAAATTGAAGCGCTTTAAATCAACGTTCTACTGTATATAAATAAATAAAAGTTTTGGAACTTTTTAACCCTTTCACCCTGGGTGACGTTCCAGAACGCCCGACCGGCACTCCCCGGGTGACGCTCCAGAACTCGCACCATTTCCCGCCACTGTTTGAATGCCCAGCACAGGTTATCAGGTTCCAGTGTATCTATTTGGCTGTCATGCCACACGCTCAGCCATAGGGAAGCTTTCTGAACGTAATTGCCTACTTTTGTTTGTTTCATTTTCATTGTTTGTCCATTTTATCATGTTGTATCAAAGCAATATTGCTAAAAGTAGTGTAGTTGTATTGTAGTGTAGTATTACTATAAAATAATACTATGATTATGTTATGAATGTATTTATTTGTTGAATTATTATTATTTTATGCATTACTTTCTATACCAAATACAAGACAACCTAGCAACAGACTGCATGTGTGTTGCCGAGCACTTTGTATGATAAATAATGCAAATATAATATTCTAAACGAATTATTTATAGGAAATAAGTATTATGATCAGTAAATATATGCATTACTGGCCATCCCGGACACAAAGGCAAGCAGAAAATGGCCGCTAAGTTCGAAGTGACCACAAGTTTCAGCTGTCAAAACAACACTGTCCCCTAATCTCCCTCACCACTGCTGTCCCAGGGAAGTTTGTAGAGGGTCAATATATAGTGTTTCTTACATCTCTTTGATTGTTTTATCATTTAAAAAGGTTAAAATTTATTTTTGGTAAAGTTTGGATTTTTTTCGATTTCCCCCGCTTAGTGGATACAGCCAGCATCACCCTAGCCCTGGCCGTAGGGGTTAAGTGGCTGGGCTTGATGTAAACTCTTCTTGCTGTTTTTCCTCTATTGGCAAAACAAATACCTATACTGTATTCACATATATTAACTTGAGAGAATTTATTGTGAATTCTCTCCAGGGAACTGTAATGAGTGTTATTATTTGATTTTTATTTATTTATTTATTTGTTATTGTAAATTTTATCTACTATGAACTAATTATTTTTATTTTTGTTACATTTTCGCCCCCCAGGCCCCGATGTGGGTCAGTGACCTGTGCCTGGGTGGGCTAATCCCTGTAAAAAAATAAATAAAAAATAAATAAAACTTGAGAGAACACTTGAGTTACTTGTTCACCCCTGATAAAGTGGTAATAATCTGATACACTCTCCAAGCGTGTCTCCTCCTCCGGGCGTTAGAGAGGAGAGGACGAAGCGTGGGAGAGGATGTGACAAGGCGTGAAATGTTTTGATTCATCAGCTAACCTAGCTCGACCTCTGATAGTTACAAGCTCAGCCGTGAATAATCGTCAACAACCGAGTCCTTGTTGAATAACTCGGTGAATAAGTTGGTGTTAATCATTTGGGTGGATATTTGGTGTTATTCATTTGGGTGGATATTTATATAAAGCAAAGGTGCTGTTACAATGCTGTAAAACAGGCTTTTAGAAGTGAGACAGATTGTATGAGTATGGAAACACAGAGGAAAGCAGAGATAATAATCAGGATAGTTCAGTGATGTTTGTTTTGGTTAAATCAGGTCAGGTCATCAGAATGTAACATAGGTAAGGTTAGCTTAAGTTAATTCAGGTCATTAGAATGTGGCAGAAGTAGATACAGTTGCCCAGGTTACGTTAAGTTAGATTACATTTAATTAGTCTAGGTCATCAGAATGTGGCAGAAGCAGATACAGTTGCCCAGGTTACGTTAAGTTAGATTACATTTAATTAGTCTAGGTCATCAGAATGTGGCAGAAATGGACACAGTTATGCAGGTGACACCATAGAGACACATGTGCCTTCATGAACATCTTGCATTGAGGCTTAAATCACCGCTGAGCTTACAGACAAAATTTGTACCATAAATCAATTTGGTGGGCAGTACATTAACCACATTCTCATTATAACGTTTAAAAAAAAAAATAGGTACAATCCCCTTCACTAGTGCATTTACAGGGGCTCATCATATAGCTTAGGTACAGTCCCCTTCACTAGTGCATTTACAGGGGCTCATCATATAGCTTAGGTACAGTCCCCTTCACTAGTGCATTTACAGGGGCTCATCATATAGCCTAGGTACAGTCCCCTTCACTAGTGCATTTACAGGGGCTCATCATATAGCCTAGGTACAGTCCCCTTCACTAGTCATTTACAGGGGCTCATCATATAGCCTAGGTACAGTCCCTTTCACTAGTGCATTTACAGGGGCTCATCATATAGCCTAGGTACAGTCCCCTTCACTAGTGCATTTACAGGGGCTCATCATATAGCCTAGGTACAGTCCCCTTCACTAGTGCATTTACAGGGGCTCATCATATAGCCTAGGTACAGTCCCCTTCACTAGTCCATTTACAGGGGCTCATCATATAGCCTAGGTACAGTCCCCTTCACTAGTGCATTTACAGGGGCTCATCATATAGCCTAGGTACAGTCCCCTTCACTATAGCGCATTTTTTCCCAGCTGAGAAAAGATGCCCCGTCCCCCTCCTCAAAAGTTACAGCTGATTGGCTGTTGCAACCTGTCTGATTTTGTCCTGAAGTAATGATGTTCCTGTAATGAGTTTATTCATAATCGTTGGGATGACTGTTTCTGACGAGAAAGATATTTAGCTAAATTATATAAAGATACATACATTCATTATTTCAAACATAAGCACGTAGGAAGTTTATCAGAAGCATTTTACATGAATGAACTATAAAATTTTGGTAGCAAATTCACGCTTTTGGACGATGCATTTAATATATACTTATTTTTACCCATAATAAGGCATACTAAGACAAAATACGTATCAGTTATACTACATTATGCAAAAACAAAATTTTTAAAGATAAGAATCACATTGAAATATGACACGACCGTCAGCAGAGGCCCACGCGGGGATAACTCGAGAAAAAATAAACTTTTCCAAAAATAATAATAAAAAAAACGGTGGCGGGAATAGTCGGGTGTTCTGGAATGTCACCCGGGGCCTAAGGGTTAATATAGTCCGCTAAATAGATACTTCACTGAAAAAGTAAAGTTTAGTTGTAAATTATTTTCTTGTGGGGAGATATTTCCTCTGAAACAACCGTACAAAATACTGTAGTAATAATAGTAAGAGTTATGTAAGAATTTTTCTTTCTATTTTGTTAGTCATTTTATGTGATGCAAGAATAGCCTCTTCTCTTCTAAAATTTGTAAACAAACAGATCAATTTACCCTTTTGAGATCCATGAGTCAAACCCAGGTGTTCTATAAAAAACATAAATGTATATTGATTTTTTTTTATTTTCTTTCTACATTGCATTTGTTCACTTAACCCCTTGTCTACGGGTTCATCTCTGAGCTTAATAAAATCTTCTGTCGTTAGCCAAATAAAATATTAAAAGTGGTTTCCCTGTAGTGAAGGGGTTAGTGGAGATAGTCTACTAACCCCTCGTGTATGGGGTCGCCGCTGAGTGTAAGTGAATATAATACAGTATTTATGTAAATCTTATATTATTTCTTTCATTCTGAACAGCACTGTCGTAAACCAACACCGCTGCCGCCAATCCTGCCAGCAGAGAGCGGCGACCGCAACAGACACCGTGGAGGTTTCCGAGGCAGAAGTCGAAGCAGTTACCATAACGACCGGCAGGGAGGCTACGACCATGACAACAGACAAGGCTCTAGGGACAACAGCAGAGACTATGGAGGAGGAGATAGAAGAAGGGAATATGGTGGGGGTCACAGGGACTATGAGGGAGAGAGGAGAAACTACAACAATGACAGGAGAAATTTTGAAGGTGACAAGAGGGAATATGGTGGCAATAAGAAGAATTATGATGGTGAAAGGAAAGGTTTTGGTGATGGTGGGTTTGGTGGTGAGAGGAGAGGTTTTGGTGGTGATAGGAGAGGTTTTGGTGGTGATAGGAGAGGTTTTGGTGGTGATAGGAGAGGTTTTGGTGGTGATAGGAGAGGTTTTGGTGGTGATAGGAGAGGTTTTGGTGGTGATAGGAGAGGTTTTGGTAGTGATAGGAGAGGTTTTGGGGGTGGCGACAGGCGAGATTTTGGGGGCGGCAGGCCGACAGGCGAAATCTCTGGGGAGCAGACGAGAATCTGGGGGCAGAGGAAGAAGGGGTGAGGCGAGATTTTGGGGGCGGAGACAGGCGAGAATCTGGGGGGGGCGAGAGGCGAGATTTTGGGGGCGGTGAGAGGCGAGATGCTGATGACGGTGATAGGAGCAGCAGACATCAAGAATCAAGAACATCATCTTACTATGGGAGCATTGGTGGGAAGGAAACAACATCTAATTATTAAATGTTCAGTTGTGGTTAAGAGCTTAAGAGTGTGCTTATAAGTATGGTTAGGAGTTAAAGGTGTGCTTATAAGTATGGTTAGGAGTTAAAGGTGTGCTTATAAGCATGGTTTAGAGTTAAAGGTGTGCTTATAAGCATGGTTAAGAGTTAAAGGTGTGCTTATAAGCATGGTAAAGAGTTAAAGGTGTGCTTATAAGCATGGTTAAGAGTTAAAGGTGTGCTTATAAGTATGGTTAAGAGTTAAAGGTGTGCTTTATAAGTATGGTTAAGAGTTAAAAATGTGGCTGAGGGTTAACACTATCCCTTAGCTATTTACCTTTTAAACACAGAGTTAATGTCATGTTTACACTTTGGAAAATCATATATGACTAATGAAATGTAGATATAAAATGAAATGTAAACAAATAGTGTATACAGAAAAATCATAATAAATATACAAATTGTCGAGCATTTACGTCATAACATTCCTGTTTTCGACCGTCACATAGTGCCAGAGAGAACACTTTGGCCTAATGCAAAAACACTGGCTGTGAAATTAGTAGCTGACAATTTGAACATTCACTTATGATATTTACATTTTATTTCATGTCGTACATTTATCAGGAATTATCGTTTTTCCTTATATGAATTAAAATCCCTATTAGGTGTGAGTTTGGCCTAGCCTGTATCACCGACTCAAGCATCAGCAATGCATCAGCAACATTTGTAACCTTAGCTGTAGAATTTATCCAGTACACATGTGTTTGACTCTATAAGGGAAGTAGTCAACCCTTATATGGACTAAGAAATGAGAAATTTTAAATGGATTGATGGTTTGAACAGAAGTTTAAAGAGGTAAGCATATAGAAGAATATTAAATGGGAAAAGAAAGTAATGGAACAAGATTGTTAAAGTTGTGGTGTGTGTGAGAGATCAAAGAGTACTGCAGTGTGGCCCATGGAAAGTAGTACCACCATTAACTATACTTCCCTGTATGGCAGTCAGGGTTGGATAATTTAAACCAAATACTTTAAACCAAACATAAATCATTGAATTTTTTTTTGTAGTCTCTGCCTTTTTCATTGTTTTTAATGCATTTTTTTTTTCCGGATGATAAGATGACTGTTACTAATAAATTTGAAGCCTTAACCAAGCATATGGAGACAACCTACTTCTTAACACAACTTCTTACAGTCATGTAATGTATCCAGACCAAAAAAATTAATTGGCAGGTATTTTCATGCTACTACCAGTCCAACTCCTACCTACACTGAAACCTCAAATTAGCAGACTATATGGAGAAGGTCTGTTATATTGAGGGTCTATTATATGTGAAACCTCCATCTAACAAACTATATAAAGATGACAGTCCATAATATCAAGGGTCTGTTAAAACCCTCATCTCATGGCTTATGTGAAAAAGGAAGTCCATTATGCAGAGGTTTCACTATTTTCCCATGGTTTTTGACAACCCTGATGGTAGTGCTTGCAATATAGCCTGTGGAAAGTATCACCACTGACAGTACTTACCTGTATAATGTCAGTACACTTTACCCTCATTAATTTGACAAAAAAGGATTTTGGCTCGCTCGAATTACCGAAAAATCAGAATTAACCAAGTTCGGAATATTTTTACATTCAACAATTTCCGAATTTTTGTGTTCAATTATTCATTCGTTTTCTGTTCAGATTTTGTACCTTGCCTTGGCTGCTACATAAAAGAAGTATTTATAATTTTTTTGAAAACAAAAATATTCTCAAAATGTAAATACAGTAATAATAAAGTAAATAATACTGTACAGTCATCCCTTGGTTATAGCGCACTTAGTTATCGTGATTTTCGTTATCACGCCTGCATCAAAATCTGCACACCTGCTGTTATAGCGCATTTTTCAAGCCAGGAATTTCGTTATCACGCACTTGCTTCCAGGTGTATTGTTAACCCCTTGCTTCACCTACATCTATTGAGGATAAAATCTTTCACCTACAAATTGACAATAACACATTTGCTGTAATCAGACATATCTAAGTTGTCTCAACAATTGCAACCCCGGTTGCAATTTCAAATTCTGTGTCATTACTAAGGAATAACGAAGTCTCGGGTGCACTCTAAGATTGAGAGAAAACGGAGGACTCAGGCGTCCTGAAGTGAGAGAAAACGGACTCCTTTGATGAGGGACCAAATAAAAAAAGCATGGCTGCGTGTTTTGTGGACTACAGTATTGAGCGTATCCTTTTCATCACTTTGTAATAAACCTAGCCATGCCTATGTGTGTTTCTGATACTTATCATAACATTATCTATATCTGTAGTGGGTCTAAATGGTCGTAAAATGGGAAAATTGGGATCGGGTCTTGGGTGCCTGGAATCAATTAGAATAAATCCCGCGGTCCCAATTAGGCGTGATAACCAAGGGATGACTTTACTATAATACGTAAATGTGACACGACGAGGTGACGATGCGAGGGGTGAGGTGACGAGGCAGGAAGTGAGGTGACGTGACAAGTCACTTACACAATTTACACGTTAACGGCACTTAGACAACCAATCAGTGAATAAACCAGGGCATGTGGAGACGCATTATAGACTCCAATAATATTTATTAAGTTCTCATAAATATGCTACAAGACAGATCCTGTGGTAAGCACCAACCCTCTTGAGCAGTGTCAACAATGGTGCTTGAGTGTTGGTAACGTTATTAGGGAGAGCAGGTCAGTGGGACCAATCGGCTGTTACCGCTCTAAATAAGAGACTGAGAATATGCTACTGCGCAATATGTCATCTGGGATTGAGTGGAAATTTTGGGGGAAAGTTATTTATTTTTTTTATGGTGTTTTAATAATCTGGCAACAAATGAACCGAAATGATATTGGAATTATGGTGAATTGCATACTGTCGTTATAAAGTGTTGGTGGGCTGCCAAGCATGAGGTGGTGAGATGTCCTCCCTTCTTCCTTTGCCAAATATAGTTTTGTACAGTCTCTCAATATAATTCACATTCTATTACTATAATTAATTCATCTTAATCTAATTCATAGTACAGTATATTCCTATAATAATAATTGACTTTGGAAATGCTCAGTTATTTCAGATTCATTCCCAATTCAAATCATTTGTCTTTTTTAGAAAATTACAAATTAAGCCCAAATCCAAATTAACGAGGGTACAGTGTACTTGCTATACTGTATAGCCAGTGGAAAGTGTCACCATTGTCAGAACTTACCTGTATAATGGTATCCAAGACTAAGTAAATAACACCTTCATAATTAGTCACTGAAGTATAAGTGATATGACATTAAGTGCTCTTGTTAGTTTGTCCAATAGTATTACTGTATACAGTATTTGTGTACTAAGTGAGGGTGGCATGGTGGTATGTAGACTACTGAGTATGAGGTTTACAGGCTAATCTTCACAGGATTTATGGTATATTGTACAAATAAACTCCTTAAAATAGTATGGAGTCATCTTTGAGGATATGATGAATAAATAAATAAAGAAGGTTTTATATTACTGTACAACTATTTAGTATGACAATGTCGAGTGAAATAATTTATAAAGTATATGTTTCTCTGGTTCCAATAATTTTTTTATGGAGGTTTTTACTTCTCATAATGCAAGTGAAGTAACTTGTAATTTGAGTAAAACATTGTGCCTATCTTAACACAAATTAATCCATTTTTTCATATATGCTCATAATTTAAGTTCATTACTTTACTGAGGACTTGCATGTTGCACTCTTCCCTTGTAAACTTTGTCTCATGAAGAAATTTACAATAATAAAACTATAAATATCTATTGTGTTACAACAAATCAGTTTTACCTTGTACAGTTGGTCCTCATATTACGCGGTCCCGCATTCCGCGTTTCACCGTTAACGCGGTGCCTTGCCAGAACCTAACATTCTTACATTCCGCGGTCGCGAACGCCATTACGCGGAGAGTGTCCGGCGCGACGCTATTTTTAGATTTTCCCCACGCGCCACCCGCCCGCCCGCCTGCCTGCCTCTCCCTCCTCCTCCCTCCGCTTGGGCAAGCGGCGCGGTAAGGTTGCGCAGTGTGTGTCTTTGTTGCGTTATCACTGACGTCATATGACGTATCAGACCTGTGATTGGCCATGCATCCCTACCCTCCTCTGCTGCTAGCTGTAATTGGTTTAAAGTATTATGACGTGTCCACCCAGGGGAGGGAGGAGGGAAGACGACGCTTGACCTAGCCGCGGCAGTTTCATCCCTCAAGGCCACTCCGTGTAAACGCGCATCCATTGTTCCGTAAAATGGCTTCCGCCGGACCACCACCCCCAGAGAAAAACCTTTCCTTACCTGCAAAGCATAACAGATTTCTTCACCCGCAACCCACCACAGCCAGCCCAAGCCAGTGATAGTGACAGTGAAGTTGACTTTGAGGGATTTGTCAGGGAAGCCCTGACAACTGTAAGTGACAGTGATGATGATTCACCTAGTAATGGTGATTCACCTGAGGGCCAGTAATCTGCCCTCTGCCTCGGAACCAGCCTCCATCCCCGTATGCCGACCCATCTCTTCTACTACCGTAAGTGTTACACAAAATTTTTAGTTTTCTAACCTAACCTTTATTTTTCCTATGTTAACCTTTATCTTTCCTAACCTAACCTCTTCTATATTACTTGTTTTTTCATACCATCATAAAGTTAAGATAAAATTTTTACTACAACATAGTTTTGTGTCGTCAAAAAGTGGAGTTTGGGGATCGGCCTGGACTCCATTTCAATTAATCCCATATGTTATGTTGTTCACTTTAC